AAACGTCGCGTCCTATATACATGTTTATTAATACATAGTAAGTTAAAAGGATAATGCATAAAAAGGTGAGGCTCTGGGGAGCCGAAGCTCCCAGAATAGGAGTATTAGTTATATAAAACAAGTAGGTCACAGCAGTGAGATCGGTAGTGGCGATCTCGGCGATGGGGAGAAGTGCTTTTATACCCCAGGGGATAAAGATCGAAAGTTTAATGAGGGTAGGGTGGTCAAAGTTTGAACCAGGGACAGGGGTACTGTGTCATATTAACGCATTGGTCTTTAACCTATTTTTAATAAAAACCATTAATTATTATTTGATATATTACGCGACAGCTGCTAACACGTCACGATTCGCGAAGCATTCGGGGCCACAGAGAGAAAGAAAGCCTGTGAAGACGAGGGGTTCGATTCCCTTTCCGTGCTGAGCTCTGCAGCAGAGGCACTGCACTGCTCAGCTACACGAACAGTTCCCAAGTTACGGCAAACCGCGAATACAAATTGCGATACCCAATTACTGCCTTAATTTTTAGGGACGGAAATGTGTGCTGCAAATATCTCACACAGAGATTGCAACAGGTATACCCCACTGGACCCAGCACACACAACAAGAGTACACCAAAAACCCCCTACCAGCAATTAGCCTCACCAACCATGAAAACACCACCCAGTCAAGGCACCTCACAGGGGCAACTCACTGAAATTCGCCTCAACTCGACCTCATAACATGGGCTTCCCTTTGGGTTCGGGTTCAAGTTGCGAAAATCGAACTGTCCGGGTTTTCCTGTCCAGGTAAGGTTCCAACTCAAAGATCACTAACTTCCCCTCAGCATCAGCTTCCTCTACGAAAACACAGAAAATTCATACAGACCCTCCCCCTCCACCAATAACCTTCACCACTGTCCCGGCAATTTCCCGCAACTACTAAGACAGCCGGCCCATCCAGCGTCATACACAAATTGCGAAAATTTTTTTTTGCTGAGGCGGGTAGGGTTGCCCCACGATAGGTGCCGGAAGAAGTTCAGATGTGGCAAGTGAGAGGGGGAGGCTGGTATGGTGCAGGTTGAGGGTGGGAGGGAGGGGCTGTAGGTGGGAGGGAGGAGGAAGTGTGCTACGGGTTTCTGCCGCAGATATTCGGGGCAGGAGAAAGACTGAAATTTCCTTG